CTGCCACTGGCACCAACCTTCATCCTGTGATACAAACACAAACACCATTCAGTCCATTCTCAATCAAAACCCATATCTATCTTGATATCTCTTCTGGTTTTCTTCATCGGAAGTTGAGTGATCATTATATGGTGGGGTTTCATCTACCATCCATGATATCCGGTGCCAGGCAAATGCAGCAAAGACAGACTCATATTTCAAGACAAAAATCAGCAGATGTTCCCAAAAGGACATGTCACTATGTATGTCGGATATCAGAAATAGAAGCGGTTTGTGGTCCAGATATCATGTCTGAACCATCCACTTTCATTGATTTCATCACTTCTTCACTGCGTGCTTCAAGAAAGAGATGAATTAGTTAGTTGCAAATAAGTTGTAAAATGATAAACTGTATATTTTAGTTTATATTTTTTTTTTTTGACTCCATAGAAGAGGACTCTGCTTCCTCTGTTTCTGTTCTGTTTTCTGCAGAAAAATTAATATGGTTAGGGTTAGACGGACTTTGTATATTGTATGTGGCAGAGATTATTTTTCTGATACCCCAAACAGATAAAATTGTAGAAATTTATAGCATTATCAAATATTCAAATTGGGAATCTTTATTTATTTATTTTGGACTGCAAACAAGTTACAGCCAAATTTGTACGGTTTTTCCTGAGATGAAAAGACCCTTGTCTGCAGTTTCTAGGCAAAATGGGGCATATACAATTTATCTTGAAATTTTGGTGCGGAACCAATGTATTTAAGTTGATAAACATCGATAATTAAACAATGTATTCAGATGTCCTCCTAAAAAAATGGTAGTAGCTGCTACTATTGGTGATAAAGTAGGAAGTAATCCTATCCCTAGAGAGATATACTATATATAGCAAGTATTATACAGCCAAATTTGCTAGCTCCTTCCTGACATAGAAAAGCCCTACTAATGTTCGTATGGCAAAAATTTCAGGGTATATGCAATTCATCCTAAAACTTCGATTGGGATCAATGTATTTCAGTGGACAGGTACATCTAAAGTTGCCTAACTAATCATTCCCTACCATAAAAAAGCCAGTAGGGGATGGCTGCAACCTCTTTGATTATCAAAACCCTTCCTTCTTAAACGTAAAAGCTGCAAGCAGAAGAATAACTGATGGTGATATCTAGTACTAGGAAGGATGTAATTCCCTTGACAAACATACTAAATATAGCAAATTGTCCACATCCTCTCTGTGGCTCTTGGGCATGTGCTTTGACGTCTGTGGCTCAATTGATTGCCCAGTTGCTCTAGATCAGAGAATCCATGTGGATTCATGCATACTTTTCTACGTACTTCTCTTTCTTATCATGAACAAGAGAAAAAAAATGGAACAACTGGCCTTTCTTTATCTCTTCATCAAAAGATAAAAATGTTTTTAAGAAAATAGGAAAGAATGCATGTGATGTCAGAATTTTTTTAACAAAGCAAGTCAAACAATGCATGTGCCTACCCAAATGATTGCCCAAAAAATTGGCCTAGGCGCCGCAACTGCTTGTGATTCTTTACACATTGGCTTGTACTGATGCCAACTAAGTTTTCTGCATTATTTTTTCAAGAATATAGTTTCAAGTTCCTATATATATATGCCATCCTATCCAAAAATATAAGTGAAATCTTATCTAATTTGAAGGAAAAACACAGTCAAGAAAAGTTACAGCTGAGGACTATGGGTGGTACCTGGTCCATATTTGGGGAGTGGAAACAAGGGCAAACATGAGTATTAGTCTTGGTTTCACCTCAAAACCGATCACATGGATATTTTGCCTTGCCCTAATCAGACATGAACAATAATAAACAATAAGTGTTTCTGTTTGACAGTAACTGCAAGAAAGTAAATGGGCCTCTGAGAATGCAAATTGGTTGGTGAGAGAGAGAGAGAGAGATGAGTTGTTAAAATAGTTGGCAAAGCCATGTGAATCATTGTGGAGATGGGGTCTCCTCAGAAGGCCAGATTGTCAAATCCAATGACAGCAAACCCACTTGATTCTGTCAACAAAAATATGAAACTCCTCTCTATAAATGCCAATCAATCCAGCTCTCAAGCTATCCAAGCTTAATTCACCTACTGCAACTCAAGCAAAGCCAATTTAGATCAACTCACCATTTTTTCAGCTTCCCTTCAGAATCAGATATGGGTATCCGTTTGCCATCCATGATCCTCAATGCCAAGCAAGCCGTTAAGCTGCAGTCTCGTTTTGCAAGAAACTTGACAGATGTGCCAAAAGGGCACATTGCAGTGTATGTTGGGGAATTCCAGAAGACCAGATTCGTTGTTCCCATTTCATATTTGAACCACCCTTCATTTCTAGACCTGCTTGACCGGGCTGAAGAAGAATTCGGCTTCAATCATCCCATGGGCGGCCTAACAATTCCCTGCAAAGAAGAAGCTTTCCTAGATCTCACTGCTCGGCTGCAAGCTTCCTGAGAGATGAACAAAGCATAGAAATCACAGATACAATTTTGCAGAGTTGTTCTGTTTTTCACATCTCATTCAATTCCCTAGTAGAGAATAACAATTGTAAATGTCTAATATGTAAGGAAGAGGAGAGATTGATAAACTGCTCTCCCACCAAATTTATACAAAAGAAACTCTTCTTTTATTGAGTTTATAATCCTTCCGCTTCAGCATTGATTTATTGAGCTTGTTTTTGAAATTACTCTTTACAGGCATTTGGCTAAAGGGATTCAAAAACCTGAAAGCAGATCATCTTCAATTAGTCAACTAATTTAATTGAACATTTCTTGCAAACTACATGGAAATTCGCTCCTAGAACTCTAGTCTCAAACTGTTGGCAAGAAACAGCAAAGCAATGAATCAAGTAGACAAATTAAGAATTTCTTCTATGATGTCTACTAAGATAATTTCACAATCTATATGTCAAGGAATCAAATACCATCTACTTTCAAATCTTCACAAGCACATTCCTTCAAAGAGACAAAAAAGTTGTTTACAATCACCAAAAACCAGAAGTAGAATAAAAGACCAGAATAGCTATAAGCAGGTTAGGTACATTTCATCCAATCCACTTGTATTATTGATTCCCCCGTATATAGAAGAATCATTTTAGAGGCAACATGGCATCACTTACTGGGAACCAGTTTTAACTTACCAATTATGCATTTACTGATTTACACATAATAAGGTTTGGTGCAACCCCACTTTCTTTGGCTTGAGAAAGGAGCATAAGGCCTACTTCTATGTTATCCTTCCTACAAAAGAAGAGTGATGAGACCAAAAGACTAGTTAATGTCCTGAACTTCAAGGTTAACAGGAAAATGTAAATATTATCTTTCACTTAATACTAAACAAACTTGCTGGAAATGTAAAAAGCAGTCACTAAATAAACCACTGTGAACTTACCTTTCAAAACCAAATCGTGATTAAGGATTAGGAGAACATGACCAGAATGGAAGAGATCAAATTCAACTAAATATTTACAAATTCATCTGAAATTGTAAAGCAGATACCGATGTAATCAAGCAAACGGTAAAACGAATTCTCAATTACAAGAAAACGCCATTGCATTGCAAAGAAGTTTCAATTTAAATCTTTCATTCACCTCGTTGGAATTCTCATTCTTCCTATATATACCGCTGATTGCAGAAAGCGAACCACGCAGCAGAGAAAGAGGTCACGGCGACAACAACAATAACCAAATTCGAGTCAAAACAAGCCCTGGCGATGCACCGAGGAGCACGAACATGCAGAATCCCCGACTTACACAGCTCCTGCCGGTGCCGGAAAAAAGCGCCAGGAGGGCGGAGACTGTGGCTGCAACCTAGGAATTGTTAGCGGATATGACGGCGGCTGGCCGAAGGTAGCAGCGGAGTGGAACGGTTTAGAGTCAGTAGCTGAGGTTTGGAAGAGAAGGAAGTCGTGTTTGGCTCCATGGAATGAGGTAAGTAACAAGGAGAGAGTGGAAAAAGGGAGGGCGTTACAGTCCAGTTACCACGCAACGGATTTTTTGCTGACGTGGCATAAACAGCTGTCTTTTTTTTTTTCTTCTAAATGGATCAGATCTGTAAGGCTCAGGCCCAGTTTTCATTTTTTCCATTTTCCATACGTGCCACTTAAAACCAAACCCAACCCATTAAACGGAAAACTATACCGACACGCTACTTGATCGTGCGACGTGCCCAAACTATAGAAAGATATTGTCTTTTTCTTATAATTGGCTTAATTTAATTTTTAGTCTATTAACTATCACCTTGATTTCATTTTAGTCTAAAAACTATGTTTTATTTCTAAGTGGTTTATTAACTTTCAGATTTCATTTCAATTTAATCTACCTGGTTATCTTTGACGGAAAACTTTGTTAGAGAACAGTTAGTCCTCTAACTATATTTATTTTAATTTTTTAGTCCTCAAATTTATATTTACTATAAAAACAACTTTTATACTTAAAATTATTATTTCTAGGCTCTGATACTAAATTTTTATTTAGGTTTTCAGAACTTAACTCAGACTACTACTAACTAGTGAATAGTTGATATGTTAAGCTTAGTTAGTGTGGAATTAGATATACTAGACTATTAACAAAAATAATCACTTTATAGTTGTGTTTAGATCTTATAAATTTTTTTATCTATATCACTTTCTAGTTGTAGAATTATTCTGTTATACATTTTTACGATTTGATTGCAAATTTTTTAGCAATTGCTTTTAATGTCTTTAATAGACCTTATTTCTTCTTTTATTTCTTTCAATTTTTGAGTTTTTAACATTATTTATTCTTTCTTTAATAGAATCAAATTCTTGAGAAAGAGATTTTCTCATTTCTTTAATTCTTCTTAGGGTATTTTCATTAATTGTTTCTATTTTTAAAATATTATCAGTTATTCATTAGTTAGTAGTAGTCTGAATTAAGTTTTGAAAACCCGAATAAAAATTTGGTATCAGAGCCTAGAAATAATAATTTTAAGTATAAAAGCTGTTTTACAACAAATATAAATTTGAGGACTAAAAGATCAAAACAAATATAGTTAGAGGACTAACTATTCTCTACTAGAATAGTAAGTTTTCCGTCAAAGATAACCAGGTAGACGAAATTGAAATGAATTCAAAAGTTAATAGACCACTTAGAAATAAAATATAGTTTCTAGATTAAAATGAAATTAAGATGATAGTTAATAAACTAAAAATTGAATTAACCCTCTTATAATTGATTTGATGAATTTGTACAATATATATATATATATACACAACTCTGTAACGGTATAATGTGCAACAGCTAGAATTTAACAATTAATTGCTTTCTGTAATTAGTTCCTAAAATCAAGGGATGACCTTGATATGTTGCAATGGCTGCAGTGATGTATATACAGTTAATAGAGAGCATTAGTCATAGCTCTCATCCAAATAGAGTAATTTGTCTCATTTAATGGGTTGGAAACCAAGTTTAAACCTGGATGATCAAAGGAATGGAGGAAATAGGGAGGAAATAGGGTGAAGAGGAATCAAGTCCAAGCAAGCCTTGGGTTTGGCTCTCTTTGCCTAAAGCTTTGCTAGTAGCGGCAGTATTTTCCTCACCCATTGTAATGGCGAGGTCAGGGTCTCTGGAAGAAGAATGAAAAGTTTAGGGACCAATGCTCTGATACCACATAGAAAAATATTGTCTTTTTCCTATAATTAATTTGATGAATTTGTACAATATATATATATATATATATATAACTCTGTAATGGTATATGCTTTCTGTAATTAGTTCTTAGAATCAAGGGATGACCTTGATTTGCTACAATGGCTACAATGATATATATATATACAGCCAATACAAACAAATTCA